ATTATTATGGGTTTTCATTCCTTATTTTTATTCATCCTTTGAAAACGATCACTGGTCAATTGTTTGGGGTCAAATGAGTCAGTGGTTAATACACCTATTTATTGATTAGTCCCAACATCGTAATATATTGGTGATTTTCTGCCGATACACAAATTCCACTGTACGAGGGCACCCAATTCATTATTTGTTAATAGTCCAAAAGCTCAAGGTCTTGTCAGGATTGTGTGACAGCTCTTGGTGTCTTCGTCTGTCGTTTCCATGTCCAAGCTCGACGTGGCGTTACGGCTGTTGGTCGACGTCAATACAGAGGTACGAGCCCTAATACGCTGCCAAGAGACACGAAAGTGGACAGCAAGGGTACGGGTTCTGGCCGCACCGCTATGCTAACACCAGCTGCAATGATCAGTGGTACGAGGCCTAATACATTGCTAGGAAACACAAAAGTGGGATGAATATTACGCCCCAAAGGCAAGACTATTGAGAGGTACAAGCCCACAATGACCCGCTGACGAAATATCGAGCGCAGAGGTTATTAGCCACATTACACGAGGGTGCGAATGGTACGGTTATAAAACTCCCGAAGCGCGGCCAGCACCATCAACAGCAGGGATTAGCCGAAAGTCTACCTTTCACCGTACTTACTCCGTAAGTATTGATTTCCTAACGAGATATCTCCAGTAATACAGTAGACTCTCGGATGCCTAGATCTGGGGCCGTATTATCAAAACTTCGTAAGTACGCAAAATCGACTTACGTGTTGCGTAAGTGTTGCTATGAAGACGTAACTCTAGCGGTGGTATTATCAAAAAATTTACGCGGAAAGATACATATAAGCAATTGTTCGTAACTGTACGAATACTCGGAGGAGTCGTGAGCGGAGTTCCGCGCAAGTTTTGAATGTGCCGAAGCAATATAAAACTATTGATTTACTTGCAACACGGTGAATTGTGATAGAATTTTGCAAATAATTTTACATAGGCATAATATGTTATCGTGCTAAACGGTGCTTTTGGAATAAAAATTTCAATTGATTTTTTGCTATAATTTACAAGCAAATGTTGATATTCAATTCTAAGAGACTTATGATCATTCACTTGAACAACATTTTAATGCCTTTTTGACTCAAAATTATATTGAGGGTGACAAGCCAACCATTTTTATAATTCCCTGTAAACAAATTTATTCTTTTTATGACAGTCGCAACTCCAACTCACGAAATTTTCTAAATTCTATCTAACTTTCTAAAAAATTCTTCTAATTTTGAATGGGAATATAGCATTTCAAAAAAATATTGCATTTATTTTATTATATATAAATATTGCATTTATTTGCCCTTATAGCAAGAAATTTCGGTTAATGATCACAACAACAAGTGCATTGCTATTTGGATAACGTCTCATTCATTTATCCAAATACACCCTAGTCAGGCACTGCAAATGCCGCTGACACTACACATCATGCTTTCAACCAAGCGCACAGCGCACTGGGCGAGAGAAGCTATAGAAACAGCAAATCCAAACCCTCTGGTTGGTTAGTTAGCCAAGTGGTTTTGATAATACGCTTTTAACTAAGTCTTGCGTACGAAAGATTTGATAATTCCAAAATTAGGGTGTACTTACGTAAGACGTAACTTTTGTCGTAAGTACAAAAAGTTACGAAGTTTTGATGATCCGGCCCCTGGCTCATTGAATTTGTGCCTAGACGATCGGACCCCCACCCACTGAGCACAAACAACTTGCCCGCGTGGGGTAACTCAGCTGAAATAATCTCATTATGATATCTCGTTTACAAGGCGTACGAAACGGGCTGTAAACACTCTCTATGTGCAAAAAAATACAATATAATATATTACAAGTAAGCAGAATCATATACAAATTCTTCGGTCACACATTAATGGACGAGAGTCGATTTATGACAGAATTACTCTCAAAAATACCTAACTCGCAAGCACGTGAGTCAATAACTTCGTAGCACTTCGTCTAGCCAAATGAACATTGACTAAAAGTATTACCAGTTACAATGAGAAGTATTACCACTTAATAAAATCATAGCAATAAAAAGTTTAACATTTTGGCAACCTAACTACAAGTTATAATCGACTTCTTATAGAACATCTACCTCGAGATGTCTAGCATGCTCGGCCCAAAATGGCGACGCAACCGTCCTCACCTTAACGACGGTATTGTAGATTGACAGCACTTATTTACGTAAAAACAGTGAATCATTTCATTCATTAGTACAAGTGCACGTTAGATTGCAGTCTGTTCGAACATGCACTTGGACAATCACGGAGCTTGTTTGATGCATTACTAAGCAGAATTTTATAGAAATGATGCAATTAAAAACCCTATGCTCACACTTACATATGCTTTTGAAGTGTTTAAAATGGTACTCTCACCTCCATTAATAGTCATTGGAATAATATACAAATGCGACTCTTTTCTCACAAATAACCGTGTATCTAATATCGAATCTCCTACCGAATGTAGGTTAGGACGGTCGATAGCAATCAGGACGGTCGATAGCAATCTTTCATCTCGACTGATGCTTGCTATCTTCATTAAAATCATTTGCAGCTGCTTTAACCGAAGAGCAAATATCATTTGGAACAATTAAAGATTAGTGCGATTCAGTATAGCAAGAAATTAGGCGGTAACTGCTGCAAACTGTAGGTCAAAACCCTACTAAAATACATTTGATTTTGAAGGTGTGTCCACCATTTTATCCAACCAACGAATATCAATCATCAATTGTTTCGCCTGTCAACCCGTAATTACATCCTGGTCGAGGAAGTGAAAAATTTAAAATTCATGCGGTTGTTTTGTGATGCACTTTTGAAATAATGTTCAATTGTGAATAGAAATCCATCAATATTTGCAAGCCATTCACAAAATGATATAGAGGAGTAAGTGCTCAGCGTATAAAATAGAGATAATCGCTTTTGGCGCTGAACTTTCATACCAGTCAACGGCAAGAGAATGTTACAGTTGGATTAATTTTTAACAGTTTCTAGCCTTAACTAACCACAGCAACAGTCATTATCAATGCTGCTTAAACATTCATAAATCATGTAATGACTAGATGTAAGTTTACGAAGTAAATATTTGCATCGCTAGAATGTTACAAAACTGAGGAAGGTTTTTCGAAAATGTCAGCTAGGACGTTTAACTGAACTAGTACTTCTTCCTGTTGGGACCTTACCCATAACTTAACGATGTTCTGAGCCTCGACTCAAATGAATTCAATCAACGAACACTGTATAGCTAAATATTAAAAGCATGTTAGGCCGTTTTTTTCTGCTAAAAGAAAACATGTCAAGACAACGTAATGAGTATGCAAAATGATCTTACTAAAACTTTACGCAAGCACGATTTTAGCACATGTCACTGAAAGTTCTATCAAACGCTTATGGCTACATCGACCTGTCTGATTTTTTTGTGGAGAGATACAGAAAAACATAGGAAACAAATCCTGACCTTTCAAAAATTTTTAACTCTATTACTTTTCGAGTTACAGCCATTCGAAGTTGGGTATCGTTTTTTTGGGACACCCTGTATATGAACCCCAGTAGGACACTTCATCTCATAATGCGGTGTCATTATTGCGGCGGTGATCCTGCCTATAGCTACCCCTTCGACTTGTTAGCACACTTGACTTCGATTTGACGTAACACTCCATTATTTTAGGATTTAGTCTTATTTACATTTCATTATTCGCGAACATCGTCTTTAAACTATACAATATGTATGAGGAGTATTTGTACGAGGAGTAGACGTTACTCCACCTGACATGACTAGTGAATTAATAGAAAACTTAGGAGAACGATAAATTTTCCTAATTGCAGAAGTTTTTCTGCCTATTTACGGTAGCAGTCAAAGTTACGTGTTGCAAATGAGAGCCTATCTTTAAGATTTAATAGTCACAGAAGTTACAAAAATCAGTATTGATTAAACCTTGTTTCCTGCATATCACAATTTTTTATCACAATGATTTATGGTTTCTTGGTTTGATTACCGTATGTCATAAATCAATGTAATTATTTCATCAATTGGTAGTAAATGCCAGTTCCCAATAATTTATTCCAGTGACCTAGGTACTTTGTTCGGGAACGCCTTTTAATAATAATTTCATCAATAGCTAAGTTACGTGTACTGTGATGCATCTTTTTGAGTGACCTATTACGTCACCTCGTATAGACCCGCCATGTACCTTGCCATTGCTACGTGATACACCATAGAGGTATGTACTTGTTTTGTTTATCGTGTGTTAATATTGTGCTGATGTTGTGGTAGTTTTCTGGGCGATCTTTATTATTATCATCTATATTAGTCTATATTTTTGTGTGATATACTCATTCGTTAGTGTTCCCTTACTTCAATTCCTTAATTTGTCTTTATTCGCACTTTTTCAGATTCGGTCGTGTATATGACGAAGCTATCAGGTGCCAAATACGCGCGCCCCACGAACGCCTTCAAGCTCACGCGTTCTATGACCAGATTCTAGTCAGACGCTTGTTTCACTCGTACAGCCAGAGCATAAAGCGGACATAGAGCCGCTAATTTACACGCTAGGCGAGCCAAAGGCGTCTTTAATTCAGAAGCTAACCACCCTCAAAATTTCGATGGGGCAGCCGCAGCTCTCGTCACAAGCACTGATTAACTCCAAGCTCTCGCTACCAGCTTAACTTAAATTCTTGTTCCGCATACTTACCAGCTCCACTGCTACTTACCGTTGAAGTTGTGTCATAGCATCACTAATACTCCCATACTCTTTTCTTTTGTTTTGTTGAAAGTTAGTAAAGGATAATTTGGGGAAGTGATTTTCCTCTATCGAAAAGAAAAATTCCCAAAAAACATCCGGCGTACGAATAAGAAGACAAAAAAGAATTAATACTATAAGCAGCTGCCTCCTGTATCATCGCGTTCTAATTAAATTAATTAATTAAAGATGTCGGAGGTCGTGTTCATGAAATAAAGGACAACGATTGGTGTCTGTGGTGCTTTATTTTCAAGCGTAGATTCTGATGTATTTTGCGAGGTATGGTTACTTATTCTAGACAGGTTGATTTATTTAAAATTAAACTATTCTCATCGAGAACTATCAACTGGATAGACACGGAGTGTAGTTTCGGTATATGAATTATATAGATAATATTCTCACGTCGATTACCATGTATGAGCTTCAACTTCATAACTTAAATTTGCATATTCAACTCATTCAACCTAATAAATGGCACCCGCACTTAACTTGACTGGCTTAAACATTTGACTGGCAAGGACATAAAACTTGATGAACATTATCAGCACACAATATCATTGGTTTTCCAAAGAAATCAAATTAGGTTCAGTGAATTATAGAATGGTAATGCACACCGATTGAACTGAAAAAAGCTGGTTGTCCGAATACACTGTTTACTTGTAAAAACTGTAAAATTATTGAGTTGGATGAAATTTTAAAGTATTAATTGACTCATGGAATAAAGTCGGGTTTTGAGTTCAGTTTTTACAACGAAAATCTTAAAATATCATTACTTATTCAAAAACACCACATACATACATATACGTAATTGTTACCTAATATATTAATAGGTATGCAGAAAGCAGCTGATATAGCGAGTGTGTGCAGGAGGGTGGCTGTTAATTATCCTATTCTAGATTTTTTAACCGTTATAATTTATATTTTTTTATTCATCTTCTTCAGTATCAACTAGTAGTCGTGTCGTTCGAGGCATAAATATAATATGAACCCTGATTCAGTCATGAAGATAAAACATTCCAAAAAACATATCCAATTAAAACGAGCACAAGAAAATAAATCCTCCTGACATGTTTTTAAAATTGAAAACCAAAATAAGTTATAGTTAGTTAGTTGGCCGGAGGTCTTACCAAAATCTTGATTGGGGACGGAATTTCGAACTGTTTTTCTTTACTCTCGATAATAATTGAAAGCATTGGTTTCCAAGAAAAGAGGTAAATTTCTTACGTGCTGGAATTGCATGAAGGATACTGGATGAAGACCCGGTTCCTCAGCATCATAATCATGTAACCAGACAACCCGAAGAAAATGAAATCAAACACAACACCCACAACAAAGAAGAAATAGCTCCAGATTGTGAACCGCTTATAAATAGCAGCATATTTTTTCTCCGCTTCCTCGTTGTCCTCCCAAGCTTTGCAGGGAAATTTGCTGAAGCTTTTGTCCATTGGAGTGAGGGCGACTTTGGTCGATACGTCCCAATCAGTCAAGTTTTCTTGAGTTGAGTACACTGGCGTGATTATGTTCGAGTCGAAGTAAGGTCCTTCATTTGTTGATCGCAAGCTTTTTATTTCTTTTACTCCAATGCTGGACTTCACGCCACCTTTCGCTGCGCCCGTGGGCTCCACATTAGACTGTAAAGCTAATTCATTTCTCTTTGCCTGGTCTTTAGCTTTTCGATTTTTGAAGGCAATGAGCCAGCGGTACACGCCCAGGTGATTAAGGCAAACGAAAAACATCCTCAATATCCCGTAGAAGAAATAAATATCGACGAATTTTGGGGCCGCCGAGATGGGGATGACGACGCAGATTTGCGAGTACAGGCCAGCCTCGACGATGAGGCAGGCAAGCGTCACGGCGATGCGGTCTCTGCGGTCACATGAGCTCTGCATTACTTTGAATACCTGAGAAATTCTTGCTTACCGATATAACAGGTAGTTTTCATTTATAATAATAGCCAGGCTTAGTCTAGGTAATCTCAATTCTTATGTTGCCTTTATGACCTCATTAATTTTTTCCTCTACCAAAAATTCAATTTTCAGTCAACATATAAACAATCACTTACTCACTGCCATTTACTTATATGGATAAATAATTCAAATATAAAAATAGTTAGTTTACGCTTAAGCATGAGATAGTTTTGACCAAATGCATTTTACACGATGCGATTGCTCATCTTAATTCCAGCCGTATTATATTTCCAAATGTAGTCTGTTGTACGGAGGATCTATACTCTGTAGTTCCTATGTGCACTGATGATCAAATTTCGAGCAAATAAGTTATGGTTACTGGAAATTTTCAAAGGCATAGAGGAGCGTGGAGACGCCGATGATGGTGATGACCACGACCGGCATGAAGATGCTCAGTACGAAGCCTCCGAAGAGGCTCTCCAGCAGCACCTGCTTGTGCAAGCATAACTCAACACAATTTCTTCTTAGCTCATGAACGATACTAAATATATTTTGTGGCACAAAGTTATTTATTTGCTTGAACGAAATTAATTTTTTAATTTACAGGAATTAAACCGGATTTTTATAAAACCTGTCAAAATTTAGACGCAGCTGTCGGTCGGGTTTCGGTTGCAACTCTCGGATTAGAGATGAATCAGATGTGAAATGGCCGCCTTCCCCATTTAGCCGCCCATTAGGATAAATTTTGGGTAGTTCCAGGGGAAAAAATATAAGGGAAAATGACACACGAAATCAGCGGCTGGTCAGGCCAACATTGGCTTACCCTGCTCAGTAGCTGGCATGAGTTCTTAGCGCGAGCTTGACAAGCCCCTGCCTTTAGTTGTAACGTTGCATGCGCATTGTGCATTTGTTTCGAACTTATCAACACGCGAGCGTTTCAACACTCTTGCATTGCGTGTGCGTCAACATGCTTGCGTTGCGTTGCCTTCAACACGCTCGCAGCGAGTGCGTGTTGCTCACACGAGAGTTACGTGAGATTCAACCCTCGTGCAATGCGTGTCTGCCAACGCGCTTGCTTTGCGTACGCATAGAAAAATACGTGGGCATTGCGTTATCTGCGTTCGCAGATTGCGCGACCATTGTATGATTCAGCTAGCCTTAATATGACTTGACTTGATATGCTAGACTTATACTAGACATTAACGTTAATGTAATACGTAATTAAATACAAAGACAAGTAGGCAAATTTAGTGAGTCATTTGAAGGCAATGATTTGCGTGAATATCATTTGTTCGCTGAAGACAACTAATTTAATAATCCGATGCTACTATCGAGTCAGTCATGATGGCAGTGAGTGTTCAGTTTGGTAAGTGAACTGGAGCTTGAAGTTGACAAGTGTTGTTAAGCGACAACTTTTAAAATTGAAAAACACGTTAACGGAATCAGAGCAATAGGGTAGTTTCCCTGCTTGAGGCAAAGTTGATTGCAATACTCTTCTTACTAATTGTGCTTGTGCGTTTGCGAATGTGACCATGCGGAGTAGCGTGAACTACAAATTTAACTAAACCATGAACTGTTAGTCTTGACTGGTTACACACGGTAACGGTGATGGTGCGCGGCGTTGAGTTGCTTGGTACCTGGAAGCAACTGTACCGCACCATGAAAAGTGACATCCTCTGCTCTTTCAGCGCCAGTTGCATTGCCTGCGATAAAGAGCAATCAGCGCATGAGGTGATGATTCTTAGAACATTCTATCATTTGTTTATTTCCAACGCATAATCCGAATGTAAAATTAATTTTCTGATGTCGCAGTTCAGGCCAGCACCGTCAACCCTTGATATTTAAGCATCAACTTCTCTCCGATAATAAGTTATGGAGAGCCTCACCAGCTCACGTTCTACGGTCAATATGTTGTGTTTCCATCGAAGTTTGCTGCCGAAGCGATAGCGAGTCAATTACGGTCTGTGTGAACTTTTCCAAAACTCACCGACGTAGGACTAAATTAACCTACCCGTAACAGGCAACATCAACCACGGTCGGTACTGCTACCACTGCAAAGCTGTGACTGGACATACTAACACTAAATCTCTCATTGCGACGTCCTTGGCTATATAAGCTAAGTGTTTGAGAGACAACGGTTGCAAAATATTTGAGCAACTTGGCTAGTATATGTATTGAACTTTGGGTGCATGGCTTCGGGTGCATGTGCAAAGTTGTGGCATAGGTTAATGTCACATGTCCTCTGTATGTTCAATTGTTCATGTGCCCAGATGTGCACTATGTGCACATCTGGTCTTAGTGTATTGCTGATCTGCGGAGGAAGTGAGTCTAGGGTTAAATAATACATTCCAAATAATAAATAATACATTACAATAACTATTGGAATTTATACAGGTGTTTAATGAAGGTTAAGAATTTATTTATCATCACAACGACATCGTGTCTATTAAGTGTTTATTTGCCATTTTTCTATTGTTTCCTTATTTGTTGCTTGTCTCAATTGACAATTATTCTCTTCTTGAATAAGTTTTTGCGTGGTGGTAGACGCACTGCGCTTCCAATAAGCTAATTACAACTGTTTACGCTTAATCATGTGAAGCTGCTCCGCAATTACAGTCTGATAATAAACTAGTTCAGCATGGCTTTTTTTTATTAGATTTAGTTTACTCCTCATTATTATAGTATGGCTCCATCGCGGTTTTATGAGGTCTCTAACTTGCCAAAGCATGACCCTCGACCGGTCCTAATTGCACCAACTGGTATCAATAGAGCGCTTCATAACTCACGGACACGTTGAAGTACGGATCATTGTCACTCTGGTCATCCAGGGTGATGTTGTACATGCAGGGATGCACCCCAAAAGGGTAGATCGTCAGGTCGAAGTCGCAGAGCAGAGTGAAGGAAGTGAGCTCCATGTGGACCACCTCGGCTTCGTACAGGCGCTCTGGAGATGTTCGATGTTGTTTACAGAGGCGGATAAAGTTAACATTATTGGGTTGTAGTCTTCGTGAAGCCATAAAACAGCTTAGGCCTTTTCAAACAGAGGCATACTAGGCCTGTTATTTTTTGATGTATCAGAGAAAGCTCCACTCCCCTATTGGAAAAACCACTCTTCAATGGAAAAATTGGTGAATTCTTCTATTAGAGTGATATTCGGTGTTACATCATGAAAATAAATACAGGAAACCCTTAACGAAAAACTACTGAGCGGCAACCTATAAAATTTATACAACAACTCCTCATGCGAAAGATTGATGAATTCTTCTACTGGAGTGATATTCGGTGCTAAATAATAACATTTATTATAGCAAACACCCAATTATAAAACTACTGAACTGCCACCTATTTAATTCATTTGTATCTTTCATTGCTGTCAACATGAATTGCTTCCCTAACACATTTTTCCATTAATGTAAAATATTAGAAATGGAACAATTTGACGAAACCCGGTTAGTAGTTTGGGTACCTTCTTCACAAAGTTATCGGCTTTCAACTTTATTAACGTTCATTAATCGTAAAGATTCAACCACCTGTCGGTTTTTTTTCGTCAATACATGTCGCTAAAAACGTTAAAAATTATTTACAGCCGATATGAATTAATATAAAAATATAACTCAGTATTCACTGCAGTGAGTGAAAGAGAGCGCATTCTCTCGTCGACGAAAACGTGGCCACGGACGGACGGACGGACAGAATGACGGACGGTCATGACGAGCACAATAGCGCCTTTTTCCATAAATGAGAAAATGCGCTAAAAACGGAGAAATAATCTTGAAAGAAGTTCGCTAGAGGAAAAATTAGATAGGAAGGATGAGAAAATAAACAAAACTCAGGTTTAAGTGATTGTTCAGTGTTACTGATCACTCACTTCTCTGGGTCTTGTAGGTCTTGATGGCCGTAGCATTGCCTCGTGCTGCCAGGAGCTTCGAGATGCTGTTGTTTCCCTGATAGTAATCCCTTTCGTCCTCAAACACCAAAGTTTCGAAGTGGTATTTCGGGTACCATATGTCTTCTGAAATGACGTTCCTCTCCAATTCTTCCTGAAGTTGGACGAATTCAATCCTTCCGTCTTTCCAAGAAGTTTTAACCTGTTGAAAGTAAATATTCTGTCAATTAGAGAATTAGATAGATGGGATATGGGAGATCAACGAAGAAGCACGTGTCATCATGCCAAGCTCTTATTAAGAAATGGCACCGCATTCTATGGAAAATAAGGCTTACGAAATGATTAGGCAGTAATAGTATTCTCTTGTTGGTACCCACATGATGATCTCTTAATTTCATAAAGAGCAGCTATAAATATCCATAATTTTTCAATAAACCCAACGAATGTTGCAAATTTGGAATATTTGTTCTGTCACCTAATCGGTACTAATGATGTGTGTCAACGGTGTCATTTACTCACTTCAATTTTGAGCTTGAGACGGCCGTTAGAAATATCCACGTCAGAAATAGATTTGATTCTGATATTAAGTTTGATAGGGAGACTGGTGTTACTAGCGCGCGTGTTATCATAGTTCTGTGCGAGGTAGCTGTTCTGACTGCACTCCTCGTCCTCGAAGTCGGGGCACTGCTGCAGCCCGTCGCAGTGCTGCGTCAGGGGCATGCAAGAGCCGTCGTTGCACGTGAACTCTTCCTGAGGACAGGATGACAAAAGAATAGAAGGAATATTGGCATTGATAGAGTAAAAAAATAAAATCCAGCTGTCAGTCATGAAACAGCGAGTGAAAAATATATTGGATATATAAGAAACTGAGTGGAAGAAAGATTAATGAATGTCTTTGTTAGATTTTGGATAGTAAAAGCCAAGCAAAAAGTGGTGCCAAAAAGAAGAAATGTATTCAAAATGTGGACAAAGTAAATATAAAAAGAGCCAATATGGAGCTCAGTGGAAGAGTATTTGGAGACCCCAAAAAGTTCAAGAGAAGCTGAATGGAACCAAAGAAAAGCCAAAGCACAGCGAATGCTAACACGAATCGCATCCAAATTAAATGTTATGAAATGAAATCAAATGTTCAGGTGCTGAACGTGACAGGCTTTACCACGATAATAAAGGATGCGGTCATAGAAATCGATTTGGTGGATTCGGATTTGGTTGTTAATCTTTCGGAAAAAAATTATATTAGAGAAAGTGTGTTATGCGTTCGGATAATGCAAATTTTTCATGTCGTGGTTTAGCGAAGATGGAAGAGTATGTTCTATATAAAAATGTTTAATAACGCTAGGCTATAAATCTGTCTTGAATGATGATAGTAAATGTCACATTAAAAATTATAATGGGTTACAGAATTGGTTTCTTGGCTGCGCAATGTGAGCAATCTTCAAGGGATTATTTACTCAAATAGCACACAACACAGTGTAGCATTGTTACAAAATTTTAATGTCAACGCTACATAATGTCGACAGAAATGCAACACATTACTAGTTTCGACATAAAATGTGATTTGAAAATCATTTATCAATATTCCTGGATTCCATGTAATGTAACACAACATTATTCAACGTACCACTGCGCAGGCTGAGATGACAGTTTCCTGTTCATCCCCTGGACCGTCTGCCGCGCCGCGCCAAAACTTTCCTATGGGAACATCCAGGGCTTGTTTGTCAGCTGAGAACAGTATTTTTCCGGCCTTGGTGATCTGATACTCGGTGTTCTCGCTGTTCAGGGCGATGGAATCCCTGTACCGAGTGCGGTACATGCTCTGGAATCCGTCTCTATCCAAGTAAAACTTGTCAAAAGAGTCCATTCCTTCACCAAGCACAGTGAAGGATGCGTTCTCTGGAATCTAATCGAAAGTACAAGCGTTCAGTCATATAAAATTTTTACATTTAACAAGTAATATAAGATTTTTTATTTCTAAGTATTCCTTTCTGGTATGCATGCGAATAAAACCAGTACTTTAGAGCGATGGTCGAAATCATCTGTTAACTAGAAATTTCCCTATATTTAACCGGTGAATCGCCTAGATTCAACATATTTGCATGTAATTTGCATTTACTCATGATTTCATTATGATTACATTCTTCACTATTGTTTCTAACTTAATTTTTATATCATAGATTGCATTTTTCATATTAAGATGACTGAGTAGTTGTGTAATCTGCAATTGTTCTATTTACGCGCTTAAAGTTCTAGAATCAATTAAAATTATAGTGAACATTTCTCTAGTCGGTCAGAAATATATATATATATATACCGAAATATATATATATATATACCGTTAGGAAGACGGACGATTAGATTGTTTCTTCTGTAAGAGATATGATTGTGAATTTTTTCTTATTTGTCAAACAATGAATGTGAAATAAGAAAGACAATCACATATAATAGACAAGGTATTGAGACCGTGCTTGTAGCCAAACCTAATTGTTGATTTATTTTTATGCAGAACATTGATGAAATGCTCACCTGGCACACCAGCATCTTTTTCATTTTACTGTCGCAGTCCACTTCTATGCGCGTCTCGTTGCTCAAATCGTAATAAATGGACGCGGAACACGTGTTGTTCCGGGACTTTCCTTGCACCCAAAAGGCCACATCAGATCGCAACGCAGTCAGCTTCCAACAGAGAAATGTTATTTAATAACCTAAATCTTTCTTATGTTCAGACACTTTATTTACTTCCATTTGCCTAATTCCACTGAAGTGAAAACTTCAAAGAGAAACTATTTAGGTAAATATTGAAGCGATGCGCCCTACACGTACAGACGAATATCCATCATAAAACTATGCAGTACCTCAGTCACAGGTTATATTTCATCTTATAACATCTCCCGATGTATAGTGCCATGTCTTCCAATATGTTAATCAACGATAGTTGTATATGTACATGTTAAATGTATTAACGTTTTTAGGAACAATATAAGTAGAAAGATGATGAGTTTAAATATTTCCATGTTTTATTGGTTGATATAGCCGAAATTTATCACATTTTCCAATGTCATTGTTAGTATTCATTAACTCTGCTCACCGCTTTCTTCATGCTTTTTATTTCGGTGTGGTTTGCAGATGGTAAAACGCCTGCGAACTTCTTGCACCAGCTGGCAGCCTCGTCGTAAGTGAAGCCACCTGTGCCCAGGTAGCGCAGTACGGTGGTGAGGGCGGCGCATGGGTTTAGGTCCAACACTCCCACGCTTGCGGGAGGAGAAAGTAGCTCTCAAACTTTAAACAATGTTCTCTGTTCAAATTAATTTACATTAATCAATCTTACATAATAAATTTTTGAATAGCTTTGAATAATTTTATTTACTGATTGTGATTATTTTGGGCTTTAACAATCACTACTGATTTCGGGCTTTAACAATATAGGCCATTTCTAAATTTTTCAAAGTTTAACATACATCTTTTTACTTTTTTGCGTAATTATTTGAATGACAGTTATAACAATATTTATGACAAATAAATTTTTCCATTTTGGCTTAATTTTAGACGTAAGAAATTGAGATTTTGTAAAAAACTAATTGTGGTCTAACCTTCCTTTTCTGGAAAACATGTAATTGCTATAATTTTAAAATTACGAGGCTATTTGCCCAAAATTAAAATCGGGAGTATAAATACACAACAGCGGTCCAGCCGTTACTCCTGATAGCTGCAGGAAATCATCAGAATGAAAAATGTAAGCATAGCGTGCAAGCTTTCATAGGCTTAGGCCGTCTTTTCAGCTCTATAAAACTGCACATTTTACTACATGTTAACGTGACGTGACGCACTGATATGTTAACGTGACGAATGAACTAATATTATTTCTTACCTTTTAAAATTTCGCGCGATCCAGCTCATAGCTCTTACTTGTATTAATTTATCGTTATATCTTTGCTCCTGCAATACACTACACTTACGCAGGTTTGGGAAGTGAAGGTGGGCGGCTATAGGAAGAGTTGAGCAGCGCCCACGGGCTGAGGGGGATCGCTGGGTCCAGCTTCACATCGCGGGTCAAAATCACGTTATTGTCGCGCAAATATCGCATTTCCTGCCACGCCAATCCTGCCACGACGTTATCCGCGGGGGGAACCTGGCACTGGGCAAGTGCCGTGACCTGCACAGGTGTCCTAAATTTCAAATTTAAATTCCTGGATGACGCGATTGAGATATTCAACCTGTTCTGCACTGTCCAAACCTCTTTTTAAACGCGCGGTACAACTCGAGCTCTGAACTAAAGTTTCAATAAATTCATTCAATACTCACCAATAATCTATTGTTTCTAATCATATTGACTTTTCAATGCATGGTTGTAAGGAATTTGTTATGACAAAATAGGGGGTATCTCGACATTACGGTAGTAACTGTATTGCGGACCGGAACATACTAAGGACGAGCTATTTTAGATGTTAAGGGTTGTTGACTTTACGCTCTCATCCTCGTCTTATGTCTACTTCTGATCGATATCTTATTGTACTTACTGATTGCTGCTGCTGTAATAAGTATTATAAGGGAATGCGAGATCTATCTCCTATGGATGTTTCAAAGGTGATGTGGAGAACCCAAATGAAGCACTACAATGTTTGAAGTCCTCAATTTATATGTTAATACTGGTTTAGGATGATAGAGGCTCGCCAGGTTAGACGCGAACTGACAAAAGAATGTATTCAGGCGCAAACTGCGAAATATTCTGGTTATAGTTTCTTGACAAAAAATGTATGGGTCGAATGATACCAGAAAAATATAACTCAGTACTCACTGCAGTGAGCGACAGATAGCACATTTTCTCGTCGAAGAAAACGTGTTCGAGCACGGACAGACGGACGGACATGACGAGCACAATAGCGCTTTTTTCCATAAATGAGAAAATGATCTAAAAAGGGGCTGCACATGCTGCCAGATGACCACACTATCATGACATGGAGTGAGGTCATAGATTGACGTGTTAATCTGAAGCCTAGAAATGGAAAACACTTCAACACCAACGTTCCAGAAACATTGATGCTTCAAAAACCCACATGGAACGTTTCCTCGTCATCATGTTCAAACAAACAGTAGCTAATGGAGTGCCCTCGTAATAATAATTAAGATTTTTAGTGTAGTCTGGACTTAGGTTTAGTTCCTAAGCTCCCTTTAGTTTGAGTTTAAAACAACCGCAGAAAATTGTGCAATGCAATTGTGCAGTCATCGATGATGAGATGGAGGAGTAACAAGTGATGTATGAACTCATCTGACCTCAGACGCAGTCACAAGACAAAATAAAGTAAAGTTCTCACCTCCTCTTGGGAAATTTTCCTTGGCAGCACGACAAGGTCGGCAATGCGTGCTCCAAAATCCTGGTCAGCGATGGATGATTTTACTTCATAATTGGACCCGAACGAAAGCGTGTATTCCTGTAACTGTGAAATCGAACACGCGCACGTGGGTATATGTTGTTATCTGATATTTCATAATTTTTATTTTTAAAGAGACATTTGCATGATAGTTCATAAATTTACATGGAAACATTTATCCCTTACATAGAATTCACTTCCCTATTCACTTCTCTACCAAAATGAAATATGTATGTCCACTTACCTTCTGCATCTGACTTGATGAACCGGTGATCACACTCGTACGTTTTTCCACCCCGTTTATGTAGACTTTATTGTCACCATAAACTGATATGCACAAGTGCACCCACTCGCGTATGGGCACCTTATACTCCAGCACCGTGGAGAACAATGTGTACCCCTCGCTGAAGTACAAATCCTGAGAACCGACTGTAAAAAAATTTTGGCCCATAAGTTGTACGTTAGTTCGTGAGTGGTGTGTTCGTTCAATGAAAATCTGTGAAAAAAATTTCGAGTTCTTGCATGTTAATTTGAGTCATTAATAATGAAATATGGGAAACTCATTACGTAACTGTGGGTCATAGTTACCACTTCCTGGTAAAGTTTTGAACTGAATGGGAGAGACAGGAAATGATAATAAGACATGTATAAATGAATTTATTCATCAATTAAATATTATATATGATGCAGCATAAATTGGAATCGGATTATTTTCAACGAACAGCTGGACGATCAGAAAGAGTTTAGCGTTTTTTTTAAGGGAGAATGGCTTTAGACAAATTTTACAACTGACAGCAGACAGATATAAAATTAAGCAAGTTGTAATGTTTACGGACATAGAATTCATAGTTGACTTTTAAGAAGAAACTCTCACACATGACGAGACTCAGAGGGTTGATAAGGAAGAAGTTGCAGGACTCGTCTTGCAGGAAGAGCATCTTGAAGTGAAGGCAGTAGGAGACGGTGGTCAGGTTGGTAGGAAGCGAGAACCTGGTACCCAAATACGGCGTGTCGAGCAGGTAGTTGATCTTCTGGTATTCGCTTATAGAAAACGCCGGAGTTCCTGGGAAAAACGCTCCATAGAAAACGCCGGTGCTCATTTAACTTCTATTGGCCTCATCACTAGTGCCAAATGTTATCATATTTGTTGGGACGTGGATGGGTTACGCTGATTTATGAGACGCTCGTCCTCATTGCCCAAATATTTTTTTTTATTTTTGTGATCAATACTTCTTACTTTTTATTTCTCCGCAAATTTTAATATGAACATGTTATTTTGGATTGAATAAGCATAGAAATATTGAAAGTTACTGAGAAAGATTTTTTAGATTGTACCGCTTACCTTGAATATGATTCTGGCAAATCATGCAAGTCAGTACAACTGCTTGCAGGAGCCACAGAGCCCGTAGCTCTGCCATTGTAGCGCTGCCAACGCCGGCAAACAGCCTCATTAAAAAGTATTTGGAAGATGATAGTTGTTGTGAACGAACTTACCACACTATACATACACTAATACACTATATCCATTGTGCACTTTCTGGCTACCAATGCACACAGTACTTAAACCGCATGATGGATAGGTAATGATTAAATTATATTGAATATCCATCGGAATAGAAGAAGCGTGAAGAATTATGAAGAAGAAGCTTGAAGAAGCGGAATAGAAGAAGCGTGAATCAAGAAGAACAATACACATACATGAAAAGTAAGTACCGAAGGTTTACTGCTTACTATACAAGGACTACATAGAATCTAGAAATCTGTTCATATTTCGTAATATTAAAAGCAGAAGCATAAAGAAACCCCATTGCCGACACTATGAACTTGAATTTCTACGCCCCAGCTTCTGCTCAGTCATTTACTCTGCAGGTGCATGCGAGAGCCATTTGCTGGTTGTGGCTACTTATCAAAACGCTGCATAAAAAGTTTGCCCGTATTCGATGTTAATATAGCAGCCCTCAGCTAATGAGTCAGTTACAGCAAAATAGTAATTGTGAAAATTACTTTTGAATTCTTTTTACTTCAAAAGAGGTTCCTCCTATTCCATTCAACCGAGCCTGTTGAAACAAATAAAAAAAAAACAATTTTAAAAATTAAAAAAACGTCTATTGCGGATACTCAACTTTGAAAGAATGATACTACAAAGTGGCTCACTATGATAACGACACCCAACGGCTAAGTATAAGCGGGTAACGGTGATACTAGAACAGCAATATGCTTCGCAAGATAATCACGACGTTTTTACCTGCTTTAAGAGGCGCTGGTATACAGAGGGTGATGAGCGGAGCAGGCTTCTGACCAGCAGCAGCCGAAGACTAGGCCTTTATAAACTCCCGACCTTGTACATACAATGACAGATTCTTCAACCAAAAAGAAGTTTTACTCGTTAATGATGCACAATAATTTTGTGTTGTCGGACTGAAGGTTTATGTATCGTAAACTGCACCAAAACCTGAGAATGTGCTTAGAGTCTTTCTATTGCGTCTGAAAAATACGTTGACACCAAATGGCTTTAACGGAATTCACCTTATTTTTCACACCTAAACAAGTGGTAAATCTTCCGAAGATCTTATGTACCCAGTGTGCGGGTTATGACAGTAACAATGGGGTGTGACTGTGAGACACTGAGGTCGCTGTTGACCGAGTAAATAGAACCAGCCCAATCATCCGCCACCTAACCTGCAGCCAATATAGAATATTTTTGACTTATAGTGCATTTGACAAAAGACTAAGATTTCGACGGCGATTAAGCTTATTGGACTGAACACGAGAAAAATAGATTATGAAGGAAGTTTTCAATTTTTAAATGTTATACTAGCCGCCACAATAGCTTAACTTGGGAGGGTTTTTACCATTGGAATGTTCATAAATATGACTGATGTTCATCGACGGTCGAGCATTGAGAGCTGAAAATGACGATAATATTTTATTTAATTTAGATTCCAGCTTTTGATGCTTTTCATTATCGTTTGGAGTTGATGCTGCATGCACAAATTCTCATTTCATATTGCTCATTAACTTTTTCATTGTTATTAGATGAAATAGCTTTGGATAATCAATGGATATATATCAAAGTGGATACAATTAAAAATTTTTAATAAATATATTGGTGGAAAAACGGTAGAAAAGTTTTGCTTTTGATTAATTTTATGAATCTCAAGTCGTCGGGCTTACCATCTAAATTAATCCAGAATTCATTATGACATTCAAAAAATCTCAATAAGTTTTGCATTTTTTATGTACAAATTTTCGTGTAAAATTGCCTGAGATAAATAATCGGCCCAAGAATTATCCAAGGATGAGCGGCATTTTTTTTAAAGCTACAAACAATTATTAGGCCAGGTACAGAATAACAGCAAAACCAAATAAATAGTCTCATTTTGAATCATACGAGTATCTACCAACAAACGCTAGACTGCAACTACTTCAATTTTTACAGATAATTGTTTTAACATTGTTGCCACAAACACCTAAGCTTGTTTCCACGATATCAATCGTCATAAAAGAGAGTAGGATCATTAAAGCTTTAGGTGATAAGGTATCACAAATTTCAGCTAATACCTTATAAAATTCGTAATAATTTAAAGTAAGAATTAATTCTGTAATGAAATGTTTATCGTGTGGTTTCGCGACGTAACTCAATAGTGAACTTAAAAAAAATCTTCACCATTACCTGCTGTTTGAAGCAACTTCTAAGCGGTACATTAAATATGTACGGCATCGTTCAGGCTCATGATATGTACAAACTTGGACACACCGCGCTCACAAACAACACAAGGAGGAATGCATTCCCAAAAGAAAAGTTCTTATGGCCTCTGAACAGAAAAATAAACGCGATTTATTCCTACCAAAATAAGTGGAGCTAGAATGTTTATTATCAGATTCTATGTTATAGGCAAGATTTATCACAGGGCAGGGCAAACCGAGTTAGAACTAAACTTGTTTTGCTACCTAATATTTGGCAGCGATCTCGGCTAAAAGTTTTAAGTTTACTGATAATGATTTTTTTTGCTGATAGCTGATGAATCGATAGTAATTGTATTATCGAAGCAGATTTTCGATCAGTCATGATGAAGTACACGATAAGGTGACACTCAAAATTACTGACTTGATATAAAAATTGTGATAAATCGAATTGAAAAAATCATAAGATCGAAACTCTAATTTTTCGTAGCATCCAAAATTCAGGTAAGACTTTATATGCAGCTTGCAGAAAATGCGTTATTATGACGTAATTAACGCGTTAAGAGGAACCAATAAGGTCCCTGGAGTGATAACTGTTGAAATATATCACAATTCGTAAATAGATACTCTGAATTTAAATAACTCATTAAATACTTTACGCTCTCAAGGGACTAAGTTAGTGCAATGAATATTCTACGTAGAATGTGCGCAGTGAAAGGTGTGCAATATCCTTCCTTACGATTACCTAAAATATAAGAGCTTGCGAGTCATTTGAATTATCAAGGTCTGTGCATGTCTTTCCCATGCAGGCTCTGTAGCTCGGCATTTACCTGCGATGTTACGAAGTGAATTGTCATTACAGGGTTGGTCTGTACAGTCATTCTCTGCGGTGCAGGTGTAACTGACAGCTGCTTCATCATCTCCCCAGACGGTCGGATGCCAGCGACCGGACGACGAATGATCAAGTGGATAAAGTGTCATGTATAACATGACGTCTACAATTGAACTCAATAAGCTGCCAGTCAAAAAATGCGTTATGCGACGGCCGTGGCTCTAAACTTTGCACGCAAGCTCTCAACGCACAGGTAAATATGAATTGTATTATATGAATTACATCCAGTTTGATCCTCCGAAGATCAGTAAACTATTTGAAGCTCCATTTCCATATCGCTCCGTATCAGCTACAGAGATCTTATCCAAAACTTATAATTAGGATGGTCAATCGATTGACCCAAGCAAAGTTTTTAAGTTCGCAACCGATGCTAATATTTCTTGTCAGATGACTGCTCCTTTAGGAAACCAGCTTCGGTCTTTTTCACGAACACCGGCCTGTGGCGGACCTTTAACGCAGCGATCCCAGACTCCAGCCCAGAATATTTCTCGTCGTCCTATGTTCTCACAATCTACTTTTTGTGCTCTTTATTTTTTAGTTCGAATTTTGCTAATGAGAATAGTCGAAATTCGGCGTACTTCTCTTCCTTACCGATAGGAATTGATCGCATCTCGAATACAAAAACAAACATTTTTGTAAAATCCTCAGAAATAGCGAGTACCTACAACGACCTTGTTTCCAAAAATGGCTAACTCTTTGACCACTATAAAGAAAAGAAATAACTTAGTTTCGATAGTAATTTTCCTCGCACGGTGTATATACTGGCTAATTCAAAACGCATCACCGAGCAAAGCCTTCACAAGTGTCTTCAGCTTTGAAGTTGAAATTTTAAGGCAACGCTTAAGTGCGAACGCTAAAAAGTGCGAGCAACGCTAAAAAGTGCGAACCTAGTTTAAGTGCTAATCGTTGATCTCTGCAAAATTCTTCTAAACACGAAGATCTTTTTGTAATTGTACGAGGACAGGTATCCCTTATATTGTCAGCAAGTATTATCTCTGTTAACTATAGTAATACGTACTGCCTAATCTTCAGTGCCGTGTTCGTTCTTAAATCCGATGGTTCCAGTATGTCATTACACTCGTTCTTCAAAATGGAAATTTATTGCTGAGACACAGAGTTGGAATAAATTCATCTGAATGGTGTTTATTCCATTTTATTCATTTATTAAAGGAACACCTTTATGTTTAAATATTTTCGAATATGTAATAGGACAAATATTACCAGAGGAAAACAAATGATAAACCAACCATGCATTAGAATAATAAGGAGATACAACCTAAGTGAAATCTTAGAAGCCAATTCCGCAGAGTTATTCAAATGCTGAATAATTTCAACACATTTGTCTCTTCCCACCCAATATATGAGCGGTCTCTGCCAGCAGGCAATGGCTAAAATATATGCAATATTCTTGAAGACTTAAACTATTCAGCTCCCAAAATGTTTCAGCTCACTCCATAAAAAACTAAATAAACAAGAAATTCACCTAGAAATTTAATGAAGAGTAGGTAATTCTGACTTCAGTTTGTTAAACATAACTTATGTAATGTAAAGTTATAAAAAAGGCCCACGCGATGTTACGAAATTAAAGGCAGGATGTGTCTTGACCGCAAAATTGAGGTAGAAAACCGTGAGAGCGAATTGGTTTATAGTTCGGAATGGCCGAGGGTATCGAAAAGGCTGACCCTTGTGGAATTCGGCACTGCCGCGGCGTCCCTGGCTAGGCTTATGTGTGCGCGATGTCTGCCTATATAAGGACCCTAAAAGTCGAGCCAAAATGTTTTTCTATTGTGGTGACCGTCACGACAGTACGGTCAGAAGCTATCTTCGTAAGACATATGCGACGGCCCCGGCCGTCGGCCGGTGGGGTAAAAAATAACGGCCGCGCGGAACTTTGAGACATTCATACCACAACCAAAAATTTACGCCATATTAGTACGGTCAACTTTCATTGATACTGTTGTGACTTAGCCGTGAGACAACACGATAGACAACATGACGTACAACGACATTAAATGTTATATCGTTGTATAGCGTAATTATCAACGTAACGTATCGTATTGTTATATAATATTGCGTACTTATCAACGCCAGCTAACAGAACATTCAATATGGAGCACTGCGCAACAATTATCATAGTTACGGTCATCGTCAGTAGCGATACGGTCACGATAACCAACAACAGCACAAGTACGGCAATGAGCTTAGAGGAGCATCATAGACGATAAAGACTACGCCACTATTCGGAAGTACGGTCGCTATAAATTCTCCTGTCCGTCCGGCCGTGAGACATCGATCTAAGCACGACTATGAAGACAGAACGTCTGAAAGGCGATCGCGGGGACCCGGGACTACCCAGTTAAAAATCCAAGGCGTATCGCCGGCGTGTTTGGGTAGATTAAGGTAGAGACGCTCGGTTGGGGCGCCCGAGTAACATCTCCGCATCATCGGCGAAATGTCCATTTTTTTATGCGCGACGGTTTATGAAGACAGAACGTCTGAAAGGCGATCGCGGGGACCCGGGACTACGGCTGCCGTACGGCCGCAGACGTGCTCATGAATTACGGAAGTTAGGAATTGATACTATAAACATCTGCACCCTGTATCATCGTGTTCTAATTAAATTAATGAATTAAAGATGTCAGAGGTCGCGTTTACGAAATAAACGACATCGATTGGTGCCTGAGATGCTTTATTTTTA